GACAGAATAGAATGGGCCTGTGAGGCTGGAAGGAGATATTTTCCTTGGTCCAAGAACCATTTGCCTTGAGTGGGGAGGGATTGATAGGTGGAAACTTCAGTGGAAGAGTAAGTAGGAGTGACTGATGAGAAGGAAGAAAACTGGCCATGAGGGACAGAAGTAGGAATACTGGCTGCTTCTTTAGCTGTCTTATCAGAGTGGTGGCAGCTGCCACATGCAGACATAAGGGCCAGCCTAAAACAGTAAGGTCAAGTTGTTTGAACAAAAAGGCTATGGGGCACAGTCCTGGTCCTTGTGTAAGAATTCTGACTGCACAGTCCTAAACTTTGGCTGTGTGTAATGAAAAAGGTTGGGATGAGTCAGGGAGAGCTAGTGTGGGAGCAGTCTCTAGAGCTGTTTTCAAGGAACAGAAAGAGGAGTGGGGAAAGGATTTAGGATCTATGGGGTCAGCTAGGTTTCCCTTTGTGAGTTTATATAATGGTTTTGTTAGGATGGCAAAACCAGGTATCCAAAGGCTGAAGTATCCAACTATGCCCAGGAAGGAAAGGAGTTGTTGCTTTGTAGAAGCAGTTGGGGTTTGAGAGGTCAGCCAGACATGATCTGCAGGGAGAGCACACGTGTTTTCATGAAGAATTATGCTGAGGTAGGTAATGGATGGAGAAGAAATTTGAGTTTTGGAGGGGCATACCTGATATCCCTTGGAGAATAAATGTTGAAAGAACAGGAGGATGTATCTTGTTGAGAAGATTCAAAGGAGGGGCTACAAAGTAGAAAGTTATCAATATATTGAATAAGGTGAGAAGAAGAGGGGTGGAAAGAAAGTAAATCATGAGAAAGAGCTTGGCTGCAGTAATGAGGGCTGTCCCTGAAGCCTTGTGGCAGTACAGCCCAGGTAAGCTGCTGGGACTGATGGGTGCCAGGGTCAGTTCAGGTAAAAGCAAAGAGAGGCTGGGACAAGGGGTGCAGGGGAATCATGAAAAAAGCATCTTTAAGATCAAGAATGGAATAGTGAGTTGTCGAGGAAGGTATTGAGGACAAAAGAATGTACGGGTTGGGCAATACAGGGTGGCTAGGCAAAGCAATTTGGTTGATAAGGCACAGATACTGAACTAACCTGTAAGACTTGTCCAGTTTGGGGACAGGTAAAATGGGGGAATTGTAAGGAGAGTTTATAGGCTTTAGAAGCTCATGCTGTAGCAGGCAAGTGATAACAGGCTTTAGTCCCCTTAAAGCCCGTTGTGGGATGGGATACCGGAGTTGAGTGGGGTAAGGGTGATTAGATTTTAATGGGATAGTAATGGGCATGTGATTGGTTTCCAGGGAGGGAGCAGAGGTGTCCCATACTTGTGGGTTAAGGTGGGAGGATACAAGAGGAAGACATGAAGGAGGCTTTAGGTTGGGAAGAAGGGCAGCAATGAAATGTGGCTGTAGTCCAGGAATAGTCAGGGTGGTGGATAATTTTGTTAAAATGTAAAGGAAAAGGAACATTAACCTTGACTATGCCTTCAGCTCCAGCCACATCTCTAAGACGAAATTGTTGAGCAGGTTGGGGAGGGCTAGTCGTGGAACGAAACTGTAAGCCAGACCAGATGTGAGGAGGTGATAGAAGGATTATAGGGTGGGAGAGTGGAAGCTGAGGAAGAATTGGGACCTGGCTCAGCCTGGTGAGGAGCAGTCTGGGGATGAGGGGAGAGGTCACATGGGTTCATAGAATAGGAGGATTTAACAGACTCAGAGCTTGGGGTGGAGACTGAAGGAACAGATGGGAGAGAAAGAAGAAAGATTTGGCATGAGTTGCATTGAGCAGAGACTAGGGAGGAACTGACGTGTAAAAGAATGCCTGGACGTCAGGCACCTCAGACCATTTGCCATTTTTCAACAAAATTATCTAGATCTTGTAGGATGGAGAAATCGAAAGTGGCATTTTCTGGCCATTTAGAACCATTGTTGAGTTTGTACTGATGCCAAGTGCTGTTGCAGAAGAAAAGATACTTAGGTTTTAGGTCAGGCAAGAGTTGAAGAGGTTTTAAGTTTTTTAGAACACAGACTAAGGGAGAAGAAGAAGGAATGGAGGGTGGAAGGTTGCCCATAGTAAAAAGGTAAGCTTAGAGAAAAGAGAGGGTAGAGACACAGGGTGGGTGGTGGTGCTTGCCACCCAGGGGAGGTGGTACTTGCCACCAAGGTGAAGGATCAAGGCAGGCATCCCTGTGGTGATCAGACACCTCTGGAATGTGGGTGAATAATCAGGCAGGCATCCCCGCAGTGATTAGACACCAAGGGAAGACCGTCTTCCCAAGTCCGTGACCAGTGCTGGAGTTTTGAGTTCATGGATAAAACGTGTCTCCTCTGTCTCTACCAGAAAGGGAAAGGAACCAAAATTAAGGAAGGGAGAGATTGAAGGGTAAAGGGATAGCAAGGATAGCAAGAGAGGCTGGAGAAGAGAATAAAAAGAGGCCACTTACCCAATTTAAAATTGGTGAGATGTTCACTGGGCTGGGCCAAGGACCCAAGGTCATGGGTGGATCTCATGGAGAGAGGGTGAGGACAGTGTACCGGTCTCCTGAAGGAGTCCTCCTGTCCTGTCCTGGGTCTTCAGCACCAAATGTCATGTGAGTCCATGTGAAGAGAGTCCACCAACATGCTTTGTGTGAGCAATAAGGCTGTTTATTTCACTTGGGTGCAACTGGACTGAATCCGAAAAGAGTCAGCAAAGAGAGAAAGGGGTGGGGCAGGTTTATAGGATTTGGGTAGGTAGTGGAAAATTACAGTTAAAGGTGGTTATCTCTTGTGGGCAGGGGTGGGGGTCATAAGGTGCAGGGTGGGGAGATCATGAGACTCATTGTCCAGGGGAGGAATGTCACAAGGTTGATTGATTAGTTGGGGTGGGGCAGGAACAAATCACAATGATGGAATGTAATGTTTTGTAGTTCTTCAGCTGCCTCAGGCCTCATCTGGATGTATACGTGCAGGTCACAGGGGTTGTGATGGCTTAGCTTGGACTCAGAAGCCTGACACCAGAGAGTTGGCCAACACCCCAGTACAGTTGGCCAGCTGCGCTAGAACTGCTTTTTTCTCCTTGAGTTTCAGTGGTTTCTTCTTCTTGCAGTTTTTGCTGCTGCTGCTGCAGAGCATTTAAACAGGAAGGGATCCAGTCCAGCCATCCAGGGACTTGCCCCCAAGTCCTTGTTGTGGGTAGCAGGGACTGGCTTCCAAGCTTGAAGTGTGCAGATGGAACACAGAGCACTTCACCCATCCAGGCAGATATCAGAGGATGGGTCCTCAGGCACTGGTGAGGCCCAACCCTCTCCCTCAGTGATATCTGCATTCCTAGCATTCTGGGTTTTTGTTTGTTTGTTTGTTTGTTTGTTTTTTGAGACAGAGTCTCACTCTGTCGCCCAAGCTGGAGCACAATGGTGCAATCTCGACTCACTGTAACCTCTGCCTCCCAGGTTCAAACAATTCTCCTATCTCAGCCTCCCAAGTAGCTGGGATTACAGGCACCTGCCACCATGCCCAGCTAATTTTTGTAATTTTAGTAAAGACAGGGTTTCACTTTATTGGTCAGGCTGGTCTCGAACTCCTGACCTTAGGTGATCCACCCGCCTTGGCCTCCCAAAGTGCTAGGATTACAGGCGTGAGCCACCGAGCCTGGCCCTAACATTATTTTTGAACATCTGAAATTCTACCAAATTCCTGCCTGTCACCTGAGAGAGGCTCCCTGAGGCCAGGTGGAAATCATACCCAGATGCCACCAGAATGATTGAGCTCTTTCTGTGCTTGTTCCAGAGGGGAAGCCCATGAAAGGAGGAAAACTCAGTGCTCTCCTGTGTGCCATGTTCCAGAAGCTCAGGTCTCCCACCAGCACCTGGGGTTGTGGAAAAGTCTTCCCTGAGTCTTCCCAGGGTGCCTGGGATCAGGGCCTGCTTGCCTTTCTGGAGGAACTGGGCCCGGGACTGACGGACATTGCAGGGCTGGGACAGGGGTACCTGGGTCCAGTCTAGATGGTGTCTGTGACCTGCAGGGGCCCCTCATGCCAGGGTGTTCTTTACATAGGGGGAACTAGGGTGAGAAAATATGACCAGTAGGTGTTGGAGTTTACTCTTATTTCCCAGGAAGCCGTGAGAATCTTGTGACCCTGGAAATAGACAGGGTTCCTAATAACTAGGGACATGTCAGTGAGTGATGCAGCCCTGCTCCCTGTCCTCAAACAGCTCTAGGTCCACTGTCCCTAGACAGTGACAACCCATAGTGGGCAGCTCTGGAATGCAGAATGCACAGGCGGCTGCTTCGGGAATTTTGATATAGAGTTTTAGTGGCTCCTGCTGCTTGCTGGGAAAAATCCCCCACCAGGGAATTGTAATGGACTTCAGGAGAAATGACACAATTTCTGTTGTGTTGTTTTGTTTTGTTGTTTTGTTTTGTTGTTGTTGTTTTTGAGACAGAGTCTCACTCCATCGCCCAGGCTGGAGTGCAGTGGCATGATCTTGGCTCACTGCAACCTCCGCCTCCCAGGTTCAAGCACTTCTGCCTCAGTCTCCCAAGGAGCTGGGATTACAGGCGCCCACCACCACGCTCAGCTAATTTTTTTTTTGTATCTTTAATATAGACTGGGTTTTGCTATGTTGGTCAGGCTGTTCTTAAGCTCCTGACCTCAGGTGATCCACCCGCCTTGGCCTCCCAAAGTGCTGGGATTATAGGCATGAGCCACCATGCCCAGCATGAAATAAATTTTATAACCTAAATAGGACCCAGTGATATAGGAGTTAAGGATAAATTATTTTAGGCAGATAGCGAGGGTAAGAAAGTCCTTGGTAAGGTTTTGCTTTTAATGAAAAGCACCCTCCAAATCATATTCTTTTCTAAAGAGCAGCCATTAAAATCGAGTCGCAGACATAGGAGGCAGTCTAGAAGCTTCCACACATGAATGCCAGCAGTTGTGCCAATAGGAAAAGGCTACCTGGCACGAGGCATTTTCAAAATGGTAGCTCCATCTTCCCTTTTCCTTTCCAACCACATGCACAGTAGAAAGCAGACAACATGGCATCCACCAAGTGGAAAGTCCATTTGCATAATAAGATTAGGGTGGGGTGACTCAGCTTCCTTGAGCACTATGTAAATGTCATAGCTGGTCCAACCAATCTGTGGGCCCTATGGAAATCAGACACCGCCTCCTCAAACCTGTCTATAAAATCCAGTGCACTCTGCTATGGGCTGGAAGTCCCATTCAGGTGCCGAGAGAGAGAGAGAGAGAGAGAGAGAGAGAGAGAGAGAGAGAGGGAGGGAGGGAGGGAGAGGGAGG